GAGAAAAGAAAAATGAAGCTCTGATAGGATGTAGAATTAAGACTGTTAGCAGCCCTTTGTTTTTAGATAAAGAGGAAGATGAACAGGATAATTCCATTTCAGGTAAAATAGTTAAGACCATTTAAAAAGGAGAGCAAATGAAAAATTTGAACAAGAGTCAAAGGAGATAATAAAATTATATTATGGAGATGACTAAATTTTGAGGAACCTAAATCTTCTGCTGATATTTCTGGTGATATTCCTTGTATAAATGCAAATGGTACAGAGAAGAATTATGGAGGTTCATCTAGCTCAGTGGGTGAAGTGACTAAAGGTACTTTGGAGCCGAATAGCATGGATGCAGATAAAGCTGAAAGCTCCAGAGAAATAAAATGGAGCCGTTGAGTTATTGTGAAGACATGGATTCTAATGGCACAATTAAAGAGTATCAACTTTAATAAATCAAAATTAGAGGTGGTTGGTACTGCTGCTCTTCAACCAGAAGATAATATTGTAGAAAATGCTGTTTGTGATATACCAGACCAAAATTCAAAACAGTTGAATAGTATTGAGAGTATTAACATGGAGTCTTAGGAGACAACAAACCTTCAAATGATAGAGACATCCAGTCAACTATTGTTTCTTGTGTGCAGTCAAAAAACATAAAATCCAACCATACAAAATCTGAGTCATTCTGAGTAAAACATGACTACAGGCACTGTAAGGAAAATTGTTGAAGCAAAGCATGTAGTAGTGCACAACAAAACTACTGTTGAAAGTGTGAAACAAAATGCTAGCTAACCAGAATCCCAGTGAAAATGTCATACGCCAGTTAAAGTGCAATAATAATAATAATAATAATAATAATAATAATAATAATAATAAATCAAAGACTCAAAGTTGTAATTCTGGGGTTAAGCCTGTGAAAATCAAAGCTTTTGGGGAGATGAGCTGTGGGAAGCAGCTTTGGGGAGAGTGAGGCACAGTGTCTTTGAGATCCCAGTCCTGAAAAACTGAGCTTGAGAAAAGATGGAGGGCAGTATGTAATGTAGAAAAACATTTTTTAGAACTGATAAACAACTGATTCCTTCAAGAAAAATTTTACTGATTGAATTCTCTACACAACTTTGTTGCAAACCTTTAATAAAAAATAGTGAAACTTTCAAAGTATGATTATGGGGTGTGTGTGTGTGTGTGTGTGTGTGTGTGTGTGTGTGTATGTATTCACCCCATTCCTGGTATCCTGCTTTCTCTGAATTTTTATGTGCCTGTCTAAAATTTAAAACAATTATATAGTGACTATAAATAAAAATTGGGTAATTAATTCATATCAAATTTTGACATGCCTGAGTATGCTTGCTATAATACATACTGACTTAAACTGAAAAATTACACTTACCTAGCCCCAGTTCATATTTTTATGAGACCTCATTAGCTTTATCTTTTAGGGAAGATTTAGAGAAAGTCAGTGTTAAAAATAGGTCTCATCAGAAAAAATATATTTTAAAAATGTGCTTTTGCTAATCCAACTTAATACCAATTCAAAATATGTATACATAGATTTGAATTTTGGCAAAACCAGCATCATTTTTTTTCCTTTGGCTGGGCTGTGTGACACAGTAGAAGCATGTACTCTATTTAAGAGCTCCTTGTACTGTGGAAGCGTCCTATGCTGTTGAAATGGTGGGAATTAAGTGGTTACCTTGTCCCACTTCACTAAAGGAACTACAACATCAGTCATCCAGCTTTGCTCACAGTTTTTGGAACATCTATTCACTTCTTTTTCTGGTCATTTTTGGGCAACAAAAACTCAACAGTCACATTGGGCACGGTGGTACATGCTTGTAATCTTAGCTATTTGGGAGAGAAGCAAAAGGGTCACAAGTTCAAAGCCAGCCTGGGAAATTTAGCAAGACCTAACGTCAAAATAAAAATGGCTGGGAGTGTGGGTTCATGGTAGAGCACTTGTCTGGCATGTGTGAGGCACTCAATGAAAACCCCTAGCACTTCTCTCACCGGAAGCAGAGATCATATTTGATAGTAAATGTATGTTTATCTTTAAAATTAAAATTACACCTTCTCAGGCTACAGAATCAACACACAAAAATCAATAGCATTTCTGAACACAAAAGTAAAATAATTCCAATCACAATAGCTTCAAAAAAAGATTAAATATATAGAGATCAACCTAACAAAGGTGATGAAAAAATCTCTATATTGAAAAATTATAGAATGCTGAAGAAGGAAAATGACAGGCATTCTTTGATCTTGGGTCAGGAGAATTAATATTGTTAAAATGGACATATTACTAAAATTCAATCTACAGATTTAATACAACCTATTAAAAAACGAACTATGTTTCTTATAAATCTAGAAAAAGAATCCTGAAATTCATAATGGAATCAGAAATGACCCATCTCTGATCAAGAAGAGCAAAACTGGAGGTGTTATAATCCCAGATTTCAGGTTTTGTTATAAATCAGTAGTAGAAAAAAAAACATTATACTGGCATTAAAAGGGAAATGTAGACCAATGGAATAGAACAGAAGATACAGAACCCCACAGTCACCTGATTTTTGACGAACAGGCCACTGGTATACAAAGGTTTTGTCTATTTAACAAAATGGTGTTGGGAAAACTGGCTATCCACTTGCAAAACATTGAAACTATATCCCTATCTCTCACCTTGTACTGAGACCGAATCAAAATGATTCAAAGGCTTAGATATAAAAATAGAAAGTCTGAACCTGCTGAAAGATAACAAATTAAACTCTTGAAGCTATAGCAGAGATAAAGACTTCCGAAATAGAATGTCAATAGCATAGGAAATAATATCACAAATTAATGAATGGGATTGCTTCAAATTGAAAAGCTTCTGCACAGCAAAGGAATCCAGAAATAAAGTGAAAATACAGGTACAGTATGAGGAAAAAATGTTTGCTAGCTACTCATGTAATCGAGGACTAATTGCAAGAATATATTAAAAAAAATCAAAAAATGACCCTCAGAAATGAATGAAGCAAAAAGAAAGAAAGAAAATGAATAGAATAGACAGGTTTTAAAAGAAATAGAAATAATGAAAATGTTCAACATCTTTAACCATTAGGAAAATGCAAATCGAAAGAACTCTGAGATTCTCTTCCTCCAGTCAGAATGCCTAGGATCATGAACTTGAAAAACAATGAATGCCAGCCAGGGTGCCAGGAGTAAAGAAGACCTCGCACATTGTTGGGAATATAAACAAGTAGATCACTATGGAACTCTCTGTGGATATTCCTTAAAAAGTCAAAAAGAGAAATGTCGCTTGGCCCAGCTATACTTCTCATGAATATATTCCTGAGAGAATTGAAAACATCATACTGTAGTGATATGCGTGCATACCTGTGTGTTTATAGCAGCAGAAGTCATGGTGGCTACACTTTGGAAACAACCGAGGTGCCCAGCAAGAGACGAACAATAAAGAAATCATGGTATACATACACAATGGAATACTTTTCAGTTATAAAGTAGAATGCAGTCATGTTATTTTTAGGAAAATGGGTGGAACTTGAGGCCATCATGCTAAGAAATAAGCCAAACTCAGAAAGTTAACTATATTTAAAGGAATGATGTTAGGAAACTAAATGTAGGTTCTTAGAGATGCCACAGGGAGAGTCTCAGATCTTTGCTTTTCTATCCACCCATAAGCAAAGATGGGCGCATACAAGTACATCCAGGAGCTGTGGAGGAAGAAGCAGTCCGATGTGACGCGCTTTCTGCTGTGGGTCTGATGCTGGCAGTACTGCCAGCTCTTGGTGCTCCACAGGGCTCCAGGCCCTACCCAGCTGGACAAAGCTCCTGGACTGGGATACAAGGCCAAGCAAGGGTATGTCATATACAAGCTTCATGTGCACGGCAGTGGCCACAAATACCCAGTCCCTAAGGGAGCAACACCTGTCCATCATGGCATTAACCAGCTGAAGTTTGCATGAAAACATCAGTCTGTTGCTGAGGAGCAAGCTGGATGCCACTGTGGGTCTCTGGGAGTTCTAAATTTTTACTGGGTTGGTGAAGATTCCACATACAAATTCTTTGAGGTTATCCTTATTGATCCATTCCACAAAGCCATTAGAAGAAATCCTGACACCCAGTGGGTCACCAAACCAGTCCATAAGCACAGGGAGATGTGTGGGCTGACATCTGCAGGCCACAGAGTGTGGCCTTGGAAAGGGCCACACGTTCCACCACACTGTTGGTGGTTCTCACTGTGTAGCTTAGTGAAGGCGCAATATTCTCCAGCTCCAGTGTTACTGCTAATAATATAAGTGATGCTTGTAAAATTCATAACCAAATAAACAATTGAGGACAGTCCATCTGCTTAAAGGTGTTATTTGTTAAGTGGTCTACTGATTTATGAATGTTTTGTCAGATGTTAAAAGTGCACTAATGTTCAAAGACTATAAGTGATGGTGTATTTTTGTTTCTAGTAAAATAAGCCTTTTTGTTTTTGTTGTATCTTATTAGGGGGGTATATGTCAGTGTTTGAAACATGCTGTGTGTATAATAGGTGTAAAATAAATTCTTTAAAAGACAAATGCTAAAACTAAAAAAAAAAAAAAAAAAAAAAAAAAAATGATGGCCCAGGGCATGAGAGGAAAGGAAGAAGAAGGGTAAGGAGATTGAAAACTATCCAGTTGTGTTCTATGTATGTACCAATTTCCCAAAACATCACTACTGTTCAGTATTAGAAGCATGCAATAATAAGAGAAGAAAGCCATCTAAGAAAGTAAAATGAAAACAAAATTTCATCCTTTCTGCTCCTGGAGCAGGGTAGAGTTGAACAGTGAGAGTCTTATGGCCCAGATTTCTTTCTTTGAAGCTAAAATCTACTTTCTGGCTTGCCATGGCCGGGCCCCCACCTTGGCTCTCTGAAGACATCGGAAGTTCTTCCCTGGCTCTGAGACAGTTCTTTGCAGAAGCAGCTTCATTTCTGTGAGTAAAAAATGCCTCTTTCTCACGATAAAATTCTCTTTTTGAAAATGTTCAAACCTGCTTAAAGTCCCAAGCCTAGTACAGTGAACACCTGTATGTCCTCCACTTAGCTTTTATTTCCATGTATCAAAAATGTACATTATTTTCTGAACCATTTGAATGTTGTTAACATTATTCCATTTCATGCTGGATTATGCTAACACGTGTGTCCTAAGAATAAAACATTATCTCCAAAAATCACATCATCTCAGTTAAGAAAGTTGGTAGCATCTGATATGAATACTGTTCAAAGTATACCTACATGGAAACATCACAGAGTACTTCATTAATATGTATAATTTTTGGTTTTAGGTACCAATTAAAAATTAATATTAAAAGAAAAAAATAACAGTGATTAAATACACTTAGGAATGTAATTAACTATATATTAATTCCTGCTTTATCTTTGTAACCATTTTTTTCCCAATCTAGGCACAAAACCAATCTCGCAATATATTTGGTTTGCATACCTCAGTAGTGTCCCTTAATCTACAATAGTTCCTCCAACATTCTGTGAATTTCACATTGCTCAAGGGAAAGTCTTAATTGAGCCATCCTGACCAGCCTTAACTTCATGAGCCAGAGCCTATGACTTCCCGTAGATGTACACAGACAAGAACAATGTAGGCAAAGTAGTTGCCTCCTTTCTTTTGAAAGGTTTTGAGCAGACCCATACACAGGTGGTCAGTCAGAGCACATGGGGCCCACCAGATAGCTCAGTGGACTAAAGCTCCTGCTTAGGCAGAGTGCAGAAGCTGGGGTTCGATCCCCTGTGTGCCATGCTGACCCCACCCCCCAGGGCGAGCTGAGATGGCGATTGAGACTGGGTGTGGTGGTGTGTGTGCCTGTAATTCCAGCACTTGGGAGGTTGAAAACAGGAGGACACTATGAGTCAGATCTATGTAGTGAGACCCCGTAGACCCTGTAGATCCTGTACTAAATACACAAAAAAACAAAAAACAATCAGACCATATGCAGGCCAAGAACACCAGACAGGCAGGCTTGCTCCCATCTGAGAGCTGTGCTGGTCCACTTCTGAGCATGCCTACACAACCTCCAGGTTGGGTTCTTTCCTGTTGGTTTGTAGCACTTATGAAAACTAGCTGAGATGATTTTGAAGGGTACGGCTCCTTTCCATTGGTACCAGCTGTCACTGATTTGTGACAAACACAGCTTTGCAACAGGAGAGACTTGGTGAGCACAGAGTTATTCTTAGGAAGGACCAACATAGGAGAGATTGACCTAATGGAAAGGCAAGTACAAAGTCTTGGGTTGACAATAAAGAATGATGACCTGGAGTGGTGATGGCAAACGTTTTAGATCTTTCAATGGTAACTAAGTGATAGCTGGCTGCATTCACCACCACTGAACAACAGGTTCCATTTTATTCCATTTAATTTCAGGACTAACAGGTTCTGAGCTGGTAAGGATGTCTTCACAAGTGGGTGGTGAACTTGGAAGAAAGTCTTGTGCCAGAACTTCATCCAGGAGGCAGGAAGACTGCAGGGGGAAATCTTCCTGGGGGAATCAAGGTCCTTCCTTGTCCTGGTTAGGCCATGTTTTGTACACAAACGGAGTCACTCATGCTAAATGCCACATAATCAAACTGAAACTTCAAGGAAGCAGATAGATACTAAAACAGACCAGTTTTTTCCTGAAAACAGGAGATTCCATTCTTCCTGAATCAGCATCATAAGGAAGTCCCTTCTGCTTTACTTTTACAGAAAAGTGACCTGAAATAACCTGATATTAGCCAGTTTTATCCTGTTTCTGTTTCCAGAGTTCATCTTACAAAACCCAATTCCTGTGCCTGGATTTGTTCCTCCAAATTCATTTGAGAAAATGTTATTCCTACAGCAACAGTGTTAAGAGGTGGGATCTTTAAGAGGTGAGGGAATCGTGAGGATTTCTCTTCGTGAACAGATTAGTGCCAGTATCTTGGGAAGGGGTTGCTTATCACAAGAGTGGATTGCTACAAAGCAAGCATGGGTCCCTCTTGGCTTTCTCAGTCTTATTCTCTCTTCCCCTTCTGCCTTCTAACCTGAAATGACACAGCACAATGGCCTTTGCTAGTTGTTGGCACCATGTTCTTGGGCTGCTGGCTTCCAGAATTATGAGTCAAGTGAACTTCTGTTCATTATGCAATTACTCAGGTTCAGATATTCTGTTACAGGAACAAAAAATAGACCAACATCACTGTTCTGCTACTGCCTGGAGACACTTCCCACTCCACTTGGTAGAATGGAGACTACTCCAGTTGAGGAATTGTAAATAGAAGCCAATTAAATAAATTCATAACTTAATTTGTTGTAGTATTGTCTTTTGATATCCCCAAGCAAAGATTTAGGAGCAAACTTCCTGTCTCCAGAAAGAGAACTCCATAGGGCCAATGAAGGCTTCTGTAAGAACAGGGAAATAATTGGGGATCCAGAACTGGATTTTATATATATATTAGAAGCAGAAACAACACATGAAGAAGGCTGCACTCAAGGATATAAGGCCCAGGAGTAGTGCATATATCCTGAGTCTGACATCCAAAGGACTATATCCAGAACCAGCCCTGGTTTCAGGGTGTACATGCATGTGTGTGTTTATTACTATTTGATCTTCTTTGCTTATTAAATCAAATTAACCCTTACTTTGTCTCCTTTTGGCTCAGAACTTAGCTGAAAGACAAAATAAGACTAAGTTTCAAATCCCTTCAAACCATCTTCATTAACATAACCTCCACTTTACCAAACTCAACTATTTTCGCAGTTGGTACAAAAACACATTTATACTTGCTATTCCAAAGGGTTCTTAGGTTGTGTTCTCTCTGACAGTGTTCTCTCCATCTCCAATGGTTACCCCAGGCCCCCCACGATATCCTTTCACTGTCATGTCCTGTGGCCTGTAGAGTCCTCCCTGTGCCAAAAAATACTCTATTCTCAGTCTCAAATGCTAATGATCTGGAATTACAGGAGTCACAAGAGGCTGGGTGGTGCTGTAGGAACGGATGACCTCCAAAATCACAGAGGAATAAATGCAGAGGTTTATTCCTCCCTCCCCACACTCGTGCTCATGGTGAGTCACCACAGCTCTGCTCTATTCCTTCCTTCCTGGGACAAAGACTGATAGATCAGCCTCTGTCTGGAACATTACAACTCTCAGAGTTGAGAAAAAGGAGAAATGGCAAACCACGAACTGGGTGTAAAGGCAACTATCTGGAAATGACACATGCCACTTCTGCTTATGGCTCACAAGCCAAGGGACATTTGGACTATCCTGACATCAATGGTACAGGGAAATACTTCCTCCCTAGGACGCTAGTGTTCAGGAGTAATAATTCAGTGATGGGGTGTGCTGTTAATGTCAGGGCGTGTGTACTTCTTCCGCTGGGCACACCTGCCTATCTGTATCTCTTCCCAGAAGGCTGTACCTCTTATCTATCAGAATATGTGTGCATTGCCTAGCAAGAGGAAACTTGGAGTCTTTGGCTACAGTGAATCTGCTGACTGGTGTATTGAGCCTGGCTGGCTTTCTAGTGTTTCTCTTTTTCCTCATCCCTGCACAGAGCCATTCTGTGGTAGGTTCTTGGGCTGTGATAGGACCAGGCTTTGGTCAGGCTTGACAGACTATAAATAAGTGTGGCTACCTCCATCTCCACTCCTGTTAGCAGCTGGGTCAGAAACCTTTCTGCGATTTCTTTTTGGCCCAAGGCCTCTTCCTGAAAAACTGTTTTGATTGATTTATCTTTTATCCCAGCTAGCCATTGCATAGTATGCTGCCAGAAAATTCAATTTGTCTTGTGTTTCTTCCTGAAGTGACATTTTTTAGCACTTAAAAAACCACTTTCTTCTAGGTTTTGGCCTGCCTGGTATTATTGTCATAGGTTTCTGTAATTCTTTCCTGTTTATCTCTCCATAAAGCAAACTTCCTTGTACCTCTCAAGGCTAGGAGAATAAATGAGGTGATGTCGATAAGAACAATTCAATTTCCCTGATTCATCTTGCCCATGTGCAAGACTTCTCGACCCCATCAATGGTCTCACCAGTCATTTCTGAGTATAGTAAGACTGAAAGCCAGATGAAGGTCCTCTTATTTTCTTCTCTCTGGGTCCCACCCCATGGATGCCCACTGTGGATGGACCCAAACTGGCACTTGAGTTATGTAGGACTCTGGTTACCAGCTTGCAATGATATAATCAAAATTGAATTTGCCATGAAGTTTCTGGGCCACCTCTCAGAATGGGTGGAATACATCTGGCCTTCAAGAAAGTTCTGCTACATTTGGAAAAGGTAACTTTGAACAGCTTTCCCAGTTTCTCTTACCTGCTTCTCTCTTCTGCTTTATGAGTTGCCTCTACCATTGAGCCCACATTGGAGAGAGTCCCTAGTGCTCTCTGAGTGCCCACACCAGTTTTAGTCAGGGAGGGTGTCATTGTCCAAGTTTACAAAGGGTCACTCATTCATAAAAGCTTAAATATCTCACGGTTTCTCTTATGTGAGAATCCCAATATGTAAATAAAGTGCCAAATAAAAGATAGACAGTGGGAGAGGGAGGGAGAGAGGGAAAGAGAGAATATTATAATCCAGCAATCCAGCATGGTCAATTTTGAAAGCATACCTTGATTTAGTATAATTGTTTTTTTTTTTTAAATTTTATTTATTTATGTATGTGTGTGTGTGTGTGTCCAGCTCAGCCCACCAGGGGGTGGGGCTGGCTGGCATGTGGTGCTGGGGGATTGAACCGCGGTCCCTGTGCTTTGCTAA